ACATTCGAGTGTAGTCCTTTGGGTGTGATCGTCCACTGGTGTCTGATTTGGCCCCACTTGCGTAAAGTGTTCGGCCCGGACAGCACTTCGTGAGCGCTCCGTTAGCTATGAGGTTTGCCGAGGCCGCGATCCCGTCCTTCCGACTCCTATGCACATGTAACACACAAGTTCAAAACCTCTCATCTTCTTCATTTGTCGATCGACATTAACTGCCACAATATGTCTGTACCGACTGTTAACGACAAACTCCTGGTGCCGGGTGGATACGCTGGAGACGTTCCCTTGCCATACGACGAGGACGTTCCTGAGAACCTGCGCCGCGCCACATCCAGGCTGCAATTCCCGCCATCCTACGTGGTTGTTGGGTTCTATAGGCTCATCACAGACAGAACCTTGAGAGTGCCTGCGTGGCAGAAATGCAAGCACGGCTTCGTGAGGGGTGCCTCCGTTGGTCTCATCTGGGTGAGTTGCGGACCCGTCTGCGAGGACGGTTGTTATGCGGTACGTACTCATTGCGTGAAGGTAGCTGGGACGTACAAGATACAGAAGATATTTGTGGAGTACTTCCTGATAAAGTGAGCCCTCAGTCTTCGGTACTTTGGCTCTCCCATGGTGGCTCATAACTCGTACAAGGTCTCCTCGCGTGACTGGTCTGTCCAGAGACGCACTCTTTGGCATTCCAATGCCCTTCGACCTTCCAACATGTAAGTGACACTCAACGTCCTTCCACCGGTCATGTAAGCGAACACATTGTGCAGATGCAACGCTATTCTTCCTCTCGAGCCAAGTGTCGGCCATCATCTACTTCTTCCTCTCGCGCAACATCCGCGTCGCACGCGAGCGCGCATACGACCAGACCATCCAGTCCCGCGGGAAGGGCACGGACTGGTGGAAGCCGTACGTCGAGGAGTGGGACCATCCCCCGCACGTCAAACCGGTCAAATGGGGCTGGGGCGTGTTCATGAGCGGGCCTGTTGGTTCCATCGTCGCTAAAAGTAGGTGGATCGTCGGTTGGCGCAGAGGTCAGTATTACTGACCGAACGCGTGCAAATCCGTAGTCCTTGCACTTCCTCTGGACTTCATCCCGCTGGCCGGGATGCTCATCTCGGCCTCGTTCAGGGCGCTGGGTACGGCGAGATACCTGCACGAGCCAGTACGTCACAGCTTGCTTCTGTCATTTTGTGTACCCTTGGTTGAACTGAGTTGACTATATGCAGTACTACAAAGCGAAGGGGATGAACCCAGACCAGATTGCAACCTTCATCGAGGAGCGCAAGTGGGACTACAGAGGTACGCCCGTTTGTTCACCCGACCCCATGTCCCTACTATATTGCCGGCGTTGACTGTGCGTTCTAGCGTTCGGCTTTGCGGCTGCTCTGGCGGAGCGCCTGCCAATCATTGGGCTCGTCTTCTCCGTCTCGAACCGTATTGGCGCGGCGATGTGGGCGCACGGTAAGCTTCGGATGCACTCGCTCTACTAAACCCCCACTGATCAAGTCCCATGTAGACTTGGAGAAGAGACAGCACTATGTTGCGGCGGTGAAGGCCGGCGAAGTTGTTCCCAGTTCAAGTTTGAAGTCCAAGGCAGACTGAAGTTAATCGAGTTACGAGCTATGGTCAAGTGCAGAGCATGCCAGCTGATAGGTGGTCCGGGAGTCAGAGTGGGCGGCTCTAATCATCGAACGTTAACGTGATTCACATCTTGACAGAATGGTGGCCAAGTTTGACCACCCCATTGTGTATGCGTGACTATATGACTGGATTGTGAGTCGGCTGAATGCGGCATGTGCCTCTGAGACCCTGGCAGCATTCGCATAGCAAGAATAGGCGGTTCAGATACAAAGAAGCACCAATTGGCTTTTCGATAATCCCTCTAAGCGCCCGATATCCGAACTCTCCGAAGCGATTCTGTGGAAGATCTTCAAAAGGATTACTCCCCCCCCAGTAATCTTTGTGTCATGCGTGCCTATTTCTGAGCAAAAGTCTACACCCATAAGGTTGCTTTATTAGCTTGTTTTTGTAAGTACTGTGCATGCACTAACTTTCAGCAGCTTTTAGCGCGGCCAGATAGGGCCAAATCGACGTCGGTAACCACGGTGGGTCCACCATGGGATCTTCCCGGCGGCTATCCCTTGATTTGATACTTGTGGCAAGTTGTTGGACTCAGCTCCCACCAGGCTCAGCACCCGTACTCATTTGCACCTGCCTGACCTTGTGGGCTTGTGAACGGTTGAATGCAATGCTCGGACGCGTACTCACCCCCTCCGTCGGTGCATGATAGCACCCGGACCTGCACTTGAGTTGGGCCCCGTTACTCAGCAGAGCTAGCACTCGATCGTTGCGAGAAAATCGCCGCCCAGATCTTTCGCATCAGTGGTCCTCATCAGCCAAAGTTGCAGGAAGTTCGATGTGGTATCACGAACATATAAATAAGACCAGTGTCGAGTCGTGTCGTCATCTTATACACTCCTCCCGATCCCAGCCCTTGCTTCTCTCTCTCTAGCTTCCGAGCTTCAAGCTTTGAATCTGTAGACTCTCACTTACCCCAATTTACCGGCCCGATGACTTGTCCTGACTGCGTCTCCGGCACAATCCACAGCGGCACGCCGAAGGGCACCGAGATCAAGGTCGCGGGCTTCAACGCATATGCGACGGGCGACGAGAATTCTGAACGCGTTATTATGATCGGCGTCGACATCTTTGGGTGGAAGTTCGTCAACACACGCCTGCTCGCGGACGAGTACGCGTCGCACGGGTTCCGGGTGATTATGGTCGACTTGTTCAACGGTGCGTTTGACTCCATGTATCCTCTATTACACTACACGCACCCGACCAAGACGTCCCCATGCCTCACGCATCTTTGTTTTGAGTAGGACTAACCCACCTTTCGACATACAGGGTCCGAGCTCCCTCAATGGACGCTCTCCGCTCATGACACAGTCTACGAGCGCTCCCTCTTTCAACGATACATCGCCCTGCCCGCCTCCATGTTTGTCCTCGCGCCCTTCGTCCTGCGCAACGCCCCACGCCAAATCTCCACCATCGCCGCCATCGTCTCGAATCTCCGCACGGCCCAGCCGTCGGTGAAGATCGGCTACGTCGGTTTCTGCTGGGGTGGGCGCTTCGCGATCTCGCAGAACCACCTGTTCGACGCGAGCGTCGCGTGCCACCCGTCGCTGGTCAAATTCCCCGGCGAGCTCGACGGGATCAAAAAGCCATTCAGCCTCGCTGCGGCGTGGAGCGATCCCTATTATAATAAGGAACGGGCGGAGCAGACGGAAAGAATCTTGAAGGAGAAGGGGCTAAAGGATGTGGAGGTGAAGGTATACTATGAGGTGAACCATGGATGGACGGCGCGCGGGGACATGTCAAATCCGGTGCAAAGGAAGGCGAGGGACGAGGCGGTACAGCAAGTTGTGGGCTGGTTTGGGAAGCACTTGAGTGCGGAAGGGGCGCCGCCGACGGAGCCCAGCAAACCCACAACGGAGGCCCCTCCCGCTTCAGTCGAGGTTGCTGCGTAGAGCATTGATTCAATACTTCCTGGTTTATCCGAAACCACGGTGTTGACGACGCCTGACTTGCACGGCTCATAGCTGTTCAGTCGACACGCCTAGGGACGGTCAAGGGCACAACGGGGACGGTGTTCTAACAAATACTTAGATACATGCTATATGCGATAGTGGTGAGTCCATGTGCAATGTCCGAGCACCATGAATTATTTCTGCGACGCTTGCTTGGGTGCTTGCTGGGACTGCAACACGTCACTCAGTATCTACAAAAAAGAGTACATCGCATCGACATGTGCGTACCTTGGCACCTTCACGAGCATCTCCGAGGTCGGTGGGGCCGCTCTCGCCGTCCTCCTGGAAAGTGCCCTCATGGGGGCTACCAGGCTTTTCTTTTTGGTCGGGTTTGTTCTCGGCTTCTTCGGTCTGACCGGGCGCACCGTTGCCGTAGGTTGTGTCATGGGCCTCCGCAAGCTGCGCGTCCTGTGGAATGTTAGACTTCTACTCAACGCGTCAAACAGAGATCAGGAGTAGAACACAAATCACAGTACGTACGAAGGCCTGCTTGAACGACGCGTCGATCTCCTCGGCAGATGCGGTGTTGCCCTCAGAGTCGGTCAGTGCAGGTGAGCCATGAACCTTGCCGTCTTCGGAGACCGGAGAGGGGTCCTGTCAATCATCTGTCAATGAACCTGCGTGCCGGAGAATAACGCGGGACGTACAGTCTCCTCAGCTGCTTGCGCATCCTTTGGTGAATCGGATGCCTGCGTCGCACACCGTCAGACGCAGATAAGTCTGACATACAGCACCACTCACTACTTCCTGTCCAGCAGCCTTGTCAACTTCTGAAGAAGCGGGCTCCTCTTCCGCTTCCTTCGCAGGAGGCTCCGTGCTAATGCTAGGTTGCGGCTTTGCATGATGTTCAGCAGTGGGGTGTTTCGCCTTATCCTGAGCACCGAACAGGAGGTATGCGATCTATGCAAATCCCGGTCCGGTCAGAGGGTTGGTTATACGTCACTAAACGTAACCCATAGTACCTACCACGGGCCCGAAAACGAGTGCAGAGCCAATCTACACCAGCCGCACGCGCGCGCATTACTATACACGTCAACAATAGTCGTAGGTAAAAACGCACAATCCAAGGCGTGTCACTGCTCTGCTTCGTGGCATGTCCTGCGCTTGTGCTGGCAAACCTGCGGCCACTCGGGACCGAGACGCGTGTAACAGGGCGTACGGAATGGGTGAGGACGCGGCGGGCGAGGCGAGAAGCAATCATCGTCAAACAGTGAAGAAGACGAAGAAGAGAGAATGGATGATGTGAGGACAAGGAGGGGAGACGAGGGTGGGAGAACGAGCAGGAATTGCCAGTGCGCGAGCCTCCCCGGGGCCTGGCGCCTCCCCTCCGACGTCGATGACGTTATGTCTCACACTTTCGGACTTGATGGCATAACTTGACTAAGCGCATTATGTATGCAAACATAAACTAATCAATGTGCCCGCCTAGCTCAATCGGATAGAGCGTGAGACTTTTAAGGACTTTGTCTTGAAGGGATCTCAAGGCTGCGGGTTCGACCCCCGCGGTGGGCTCAATTACCATGCTTCTTCATTTTGCGACTCATGTCTCGTCTCCCAAAGTATTCAACTAATCGACTCAAAGCGGGTTTCCAACGCTCAGCTCACTCGGAGTCGGTACATTGCTATGTGATGCAATGTAGTGCTCCATGCTTCTGTTTGTACTGTGCACCAGCACACTTTTGCTCTCCTTCACTGTCTCAAGTGACTTGTAGCCTACTAGCAACCAAGATTCTGTGGAACCAGACCTGATATATATATATATGACGCACCGGTTCAACGTATATCTCTATTCGGGGCTTGCTTGCCAACTGTCGTGAGGGGTAAGAATGAGCAACCATCATAAATTCAGAGGCCGGGTCTATCAACCATGTATGTACTCAAGTATATTTTGGGGCTGCTTTGTCCTGCTCCATTCCAATGTATACATCCACTGGCCTCCAGCAGAACACCCTCCTTAATGTGCTAGTCCACCAAACCTTAAAAGCCTACTAGGCACTTATCCCTTTATAATTATAGTCTTTGCTCACTGACTGAGGACTCGTCTGTCTGTGTGTGTCTACTAGTCGTTGCGACTCTTGCCTTCACAGGTTCAGACTTCATCACCGTAGTAACCAGCGATGGCCATCAGTGAATGGTGCTGCAAGTAGGTTGGTTATGAAGGGCACTAAGTCGTTGCCTGACCTTCTTTGACTCTTTGCATACTTGATACACTGATGATATATTATGTATCTAGCTTTTTTGATTACTCTTGGCGTTTGTGAGACTCAAGTTAGCCTCACACCATCACAATTCGGGTTGAGAGGGGTCTACACTATTTGTGGCACGTGCTCTTGGTCAAGCACCCCAATCTACGCCCTCAATTCATGCAGTCAGCTCCCTCAAATTTCATGCAGCACAGGCAGCTCCCTAGGTTGCCTCATCAAAATGTACACCCCATTATGAAGCCTGAAGGTCCACAGTTAGTAGTGACCGCAAAAGTGCCAGATTGAAGGCATAAGGCTACTGGATCCAGCACATCATTGGCAGGTCAGTTCACTATTCACATACATTGGCAGCGCAGTCCTTCCCATTGTACTATAGCTAGTTGAAGACAACAGATGTATTCTGCTGATGTCCAACTCATTGAGGCAGCTGTGTCTGTGGCTGTGTCATCCCGGCAAATCCCATTTGCTGGTAAGCACTCAGACTTTTCAACTCTTCTCGTTGAGCTACAATGATGCGGGTCACCACTGTGCGAGCTAACAGCTCTCAGCACGATATTCTCACCCGTGCGTCAAGAACAGCCCATGCCCTAGATGAGATCTCTCTCCTCAGCTCACAGAAGTGCCACTTCTTGCTATGCACTGGCATCCACATCAGCAAAAGTGATGGCATCAGGTAAGCATAGGTGGACATGGTCAGTGCTGGCGTATCTGATAAGATATGACCTTGCCTGGCGAGGAATTTACTGTTCCGCCAACTTATCGGTATGTACCTGCCAACAGTGGCCTGAATTGCCACTGTTCACCCGTGATGCTTGCTCTCTTACCAGAGACATATCATGCTGGCAATTCCATGTCATCTGATCTAACATCTGGACTCCTAACAGCGCTCCAAAGGCCATGAGTTCGAGATATGATTCAAACTCCGCCACAGCCATTACTTGTGTCCCACCCTATTGATAAGCCCTAAACTTGGGTTACTGAGTGCTCCCGGCATCTCTCGATGCTGATCCGGCTCTTGGGAATTGTGCCATCGTCCAAGCGCAGCTGCCAAGCATCCCTTGGACATCGGCTGCTGTCTCATCCCGGCTCAACCCAGTTCTTCCGTCACTGCATAAATGGAGGCCCCTCACCTCTTCATCGACATCCCTCTACTGAGTCTGCTCTCTCCATCTCCATCATTCGCCTCTCCATCCATTCACAGGTCCGCATGGTAACTCCTATGAGGATCACCTGGTAAGTACCCTCATGTCCTGTAATAAGAAAGGTAAGCTGTCCTTTCTTCCCGCTCCCTGAATCAGACAACCTGGTAAGTCCTTGTTGCACATCTTCCTGTGAGTCTTATGATGCCCTATGTCCCATTGCCATCTTGGGGTTCCTGTCAGTGTATTGGGTAGGCATGTAGTTTTGTGTAGTGTGTAGTAGTGTATCCATAATCATTGTAGCATCGCAAATATATCTATTATTTCATTGAATCAATTTGTGAGACCCCCAAGACCCTGAAACAAATTCACGATATTGGTCGATTAATGCGAGGCAATCAGATATTTCAGCAAAGTGCATATGCATATGCTGGGGAACATTACAATTAATATCAGTGCTGTATATGTCACCATACTGATGGGATCTCACCAGTATGACAGACTATATGTCAGCTTCAGAGGTCAACGATATGTGCATATCAGATGTGTCACCACCCTGGGAATTCTGGTCATTCCAGGTGGCCATTGTATGTACAGGTATTGTCCATACCAGCGTGGTGCACTTTTGCTGATGCAGCAGGAGGTTGTTACCTTTGATCTTGCGTCTTTGCTTGTAGAGGCACTGAGTGGATATCTTGCTGGTTCATGCGACAGAGGGCTGCTGCACAACGACGGGTGACAACTGAAGAAGGCTGCATCTACCTCATCCACACTGTCAAGCATGGCAGCATGGACAAGTGGGCTATGGCTGCTGTACGAAGGCCTATCCGTGTGCCACCAAGGCCTTGCTTATGTTCTGTTGTCCCCAAGCAGTTACTGTAGTCCAACACTCCCTTCGTCCTCACCATGCAGACCACCGCATATAGTCAGTTACTCGGTCCTTGGGTAGGTAGTGTCGCTCCCTCACCTATGGGGTCTCTTTCTTGTGGGCATCTCCATGCAAGTGCTCTGCTACATCTGTGAGGTGAGGTGCCGTCTCCTTGTAACAGCACCGTGACCGTGACCTTCCCATTTTGGACTCACCTAGTTACACTCTACGCTACATCTCGTTTCTCTAGACGAACCAATGCCAGTACACGGCATTGGTACCTGAGCCCCGTCCCACCTTGTCCTCTGTACCCCTGTACTACGTCTCAGACCCTCGAATCAAGTCTTCGCACTCAGACCTCGCCGGGCTCGGGCTACAGCCCGTTACAGTTTGGTTCGTCTGCGAACTCACGAGTTGTCAAGCCATTCGGCCCTCGCACCCCCCTTTGGCTGTCTTTCTCCGTGGCCAGCATCCGCTCCTTTTCCCTTCGCTTCGACTTCAACCTCTACTCTGGCTGCACTGCCCATGCAGGCCAGCTTCCGCTGTTCCATGGCTTCAACTCTCCCCATCGCCCACCTAGCCCCTATCCACCTGCAGAGCAACTCCCTTCCCGTTGCTTGTATGGCCCGTCGGTGCCATCACTCACTCCACTACCATGGACGGTCGGAGCTCGCTTGCAGTCAAAGGCTCGCTTGATGCATGCGAACAGTTCGTCGCCATCGGTTTTTCTTTTTCTTTCTTTTTTTCTCCTTCCTCCTCGTCCACCCTCCCGATCATCTTCTCGAATACCTGTCACGGCCCAATTATCCTCCCGTCCTGCCATCGTCTTCCCCACTCTCACCCTCGCAACTGCTGTTGTAAGTCAAGCCCGCCCTCCATCCCCTCTCCTCGGGCCCATTTCTTTCAGATCGCCTCGCCTTTCCTCTTCTCAGGCTCTGTTAAGGAAAGCCTCGGCGGAAAAAAGGGGGATAGGTGTAGTGAAGACGGAACCTCCGGATGGATGTGAGGACAAAGCAGGCGCAACGGACGAGCATCCGTGGAGACCTCCTGGATGACTTGTGGAGGCAGGCCAAAGGGTGCATAGGATGCTGGAGCACAGTCGGCACATCCACACAGGTTCACAGCAGAGGTGGAGAACATCATGAGAATGCAGGTCTCCACCCGGGCCTCTCTTCCTGGCCATCGTAGCGTGCAGCATGATGCACTCTCCCTTTCCTCTCACTAGACGCCGCCTCGGGGCGAGTGGTGTCCTCTGATTTTTCATATCAAAACTTTTCAATACCTTTTGTTATCATCGCCTTCCCACCCCGCTTTACGTTCCTTTCACGTTATCTCAACCAACTTTTGACCCCTCTCGTAACTCTTGACCTTCGTTACCACAGTGTACCCCAATTTCGACCCCATCTGCTCTCTCATTCACATCATCAACACGCTCCTTTCAACCGCATCCCGACTTATGCTCGGTTCCATTCCCTCAACTTGTCGCTATCCAGTCACTGTTGGTCTCCCCTATTGACTTATCTCACCGATGTCCTTGACCCATGACCATCCCACACTCCCCACTTGCATCATCATCAATTCTCTTCCTCGCCGCACCCTGACTCATGATCAGCACCCTCACCTCTTGTCGTCACTCAGCCGCATCGCATCCACATCACGTCCCTCGTCCTCGCTCCCCGACTCTTGTTCTTTCCCAGTGCATCCTTATGTCCGGTCGCACGCACCTTGGCAGTGGTCAAACCACATCGACACCCAGGTAGAATCGGCAGTGGCCGTATCTTCCTCCTGTCCCGTCCTCCTTCGCATCCGCTTGGACTCATGGCTACAGTCTTAACAGTCAAGTGCCTATTCTCGGCTTACAGGGGTCGTGTCCAGGCCTAGGCTATGGTCTTAACTGGCTCGATGCTCTTCTTGTTCTCGCCCTTGTCTTTGGTCTTCCCATGGTCCTGTCCCTCTGGGTTGACAGCTTCGGTCCTGAGGGAGTTGCTCTCCCCTGGACACCAACATAACCATAGGTTTGGTATGTATGGACCCCTCTCGTCTCGTCTATGGCTCTCGTAGCACCCCGTCTCGTATCCTGTCCTCTCCCGTCTCATGTTTTGTCCCCCACATCATCTTGTCCACCCCCGCTTCTTGCTTGCCCCCATTCTGGTATCACGTTAATGCACTACATCGTTTACCACTTATTGTTATTCAGTTATTTCATGTTTTTTGATCCTCTCGCATTCTTTACTTAGTCCCCCTTGCTTGCATACTTAGTAGCTCCGTCTCTCATCACCCACTCCTCGAGCCGCAGCTTAA